AAAGTCTTCAAGTCAAATATATATGCTAATGTATATTTGATTGCATTGCTTTTAATTAGTTTTGTTTCTCTATAGATTATTCAAGTTAAGTTTGTTACATTTTCACGTGGTATCACATGGGCTAAATGGTCCTCCACAAACATAGAACCTTTTACAAAGTTCACAACTTCACACCCTTCCTTTGCTCCCACTTGTCAAGTTTATCATTACCATGAACTTTCCCACTTCATGTTAATGCCTACTTCCCTTAATTAGCATTGAAGTTGGTGCTTGAGTTTGATCTAATTAAGCTCTTGGCTCCAATACTAATTCAGTTATGATTCTCAGTTTTGATCACTTTGAAGTTAATGACAAGGGAGTACCAAACTCAACTAATTATTTTTGATTGATTGTTAATGATTAGTGGCATAATTAAAGTTATTTTGGTACAAATCATCTATTAAACAAGTAATATGGACCAACACCTACGAGACATTAACACTTAATATATAATTAATTTCTTGAGAGATCTAAAAGTTTTAACAATCAAAAATTAATTTTATTCACTAATTAGTCTTTTTTTGCCTGTGCATTGCATGTTTTTTTTTTAAAAATTTTTTTTATATTATAATTTATTTTTTTATTAATTCTTGAATTTTATAATGATTTATAGTTATATAATTCTAATTAAATGATTAAAGTTGGGTAGGAGATTGTGTTTAATAATTGACCAGAGTATTTTTTAAAAAAGTTGTATATAACCACATTAAAAAAATATTAAAAAAATTCATAAAACATTAATAATAGTTTTTATCTCATAATCTATATATATTCGTTCTTTTTTTTTTCTATTATTGTCATATTTAAAGATTTAGACAATATTCCCTATTCTCTCTTTTAAGGAACTATAGTATAGTTAAATAGGATTAAATACCCGTGTGTTGCATGTGTATTGCATAGGATCATTTTAATGTTTCTTTTTTAACATTAAATAAAAAAATTGATATACATTTTTAAAATATAACTTAAACTAAGTAATCTAAACACATATATCCTACTATCAAATTTTGAATTAGAAAAATCTTTCGAATAAAACATTAAGATTTGGTAGTTAAGAGTAAAAAAAAAACTTCAAACATTTGTTGTCAAGAATTGAAAAAATTTAAATTCACTCAAAGCATTCTTTTTTCTTTTTTCTTTTTTCTTTTTTTTTTTTTGCTTTTTTGCTTTCAATACTTAGTATTCTTAAGTATGCTTAGTTTGCCTGGTATTCTATGAATTAATGTTTTTCATGTCTTAAGCTACTCCTCATTCGCTTAATATATATGTAATGTAAAATAATAATGAATATATTAGTTTATAATACATCAAATATTTGAATAAAAATGCATATTACTCCCATTTAGTGGAGGGATTGCAATGATAGCTTTAGATATTGTTTTAGTACATATTTATACATTAATCTTTATTATTCTTAATGTTATTATTATTATTATTATTATTATTATTATTATTATTATTAATTACCAATTCCAAAATATGTATTAGGAAAAATAGAAATAAAGTATATATATGTAGTAAGAAAATCAAACTTTATTTGACTGGTTTTAATATTTATGAAAATCAATGAACTAATATAGTTATCTCTCAAATTTTTAATATTTTCAATTTATAAATCAAAAATCTTATTTTGCATCCTCATTATCCCATTCTATTGGGTCTTCTCATGTCCCCTTAATTATCATCACATTCTTTTGCACATCTACATTCAAAACAAAAAAATGTATATTCTATTATTTTTTTCAAAAAAATATTTTTGATAAAGTAAAAAATAATTCTATTTGAAATAAAATCAAATAAAATTCATACAAAATCTTCTTCTCTTTGTTGAGCCTTTTTTAGACTTCACTTCCTCATGCACATTTTTTTTCCAATTAGAAAAAAAGAAGAAGAAGAAGTGCATCAGGTGAAAAAATTAAAAATGATAAAAATAAATAATGAATGGAAGTGTTATAAAAATGTTATAAATAATGATGAATGAAATTGTAATCATATGTTTTTATTCTTTATAAAAATTAGGGATCTATTCATCTTCCTTTAGTTTAATTAATTCATTATATATGTAATGAAAGCTAATAATAATAAAATAGCTAAAAATATTAAGAAAAGAAGTGGCAATGGAAGCGAAGAAGATGAGAAGATAAAAAGGTAAAACTAATATTATTATTACGTATATTTATTACATTTTATTGTAAAATACTATATTTTCTCTTAGTTTTAACAAAATATATTTTTTATATTTAAAATGAAACTGACAAATTTTAGTGCCTAATTAATACTTGGGTACCATTTTATAAAATATATAGATAGATACATATATAAATATAGATATATAGATAACCAGTTAATCTAAGAAATTTTTGCATTTTGATTATTTTATGTAAATTTTATTAATGGTTAATCTAATAATCAAATAATTTTTACCTTATACATTTATTATTATTGTTTTTTATCTTCTTGATCAGTTATTTTTAATCCTTATTTAATTGAATTCATAATACTTTAAAATTGAGATTAAAAAGCATCAATTATTATTTTAATTAAAAAATCAAACCATAGTTATTTTTAATATGCAAGATTTGCATTAAGTATTCTAAAATAAGAGAGAGTATTTAACAGTTATTTTTTTTTTTATTACATTAGTTTTTACCAACTCTTTCTTCTATAATCGTTTAACTTGTAAATTTTTGTTTTATGGTTTTTTTTCTTATGCCTTCTCTCATTTCCAATTTCCTATCATTTTTCCCTCTTTCTATTTTTATCCCTTAACTTGTATTACAAATTGTTTCGATATGTGAATATAAATGTTCAAATCAAAGTTATAAAAATGAAGTGATTTGAATGAGATTTTAGTGCAATTAAATTAATATTTCCAAATATATATGACAATATATTGGATATGTATACAATTTAAAAGGAATGTGAAATAGAATTTATATTTAAAAGAATAAAAAAGTTGATAATATTATAATATAAATAGAATAAGAAACATAATATCTTCTCATAAAAAAATGTAATATTTTTCATATTACTTAATCCCTATCAAATTCATACATTTTTTGTTTAGTTCAATGTATGAATCAACATTATAATTATTCTTATGTACTCCAATCCCATAAATAAAGTTTTTTTCTTAACATACAAAAAAAAAATATTAATAATGTAAATAAAAAAGAATACATAAATTTCAAATAGATAAAATTAAGAAATTTTTTCAAAAGAACAACCATCAAATGTTCTATAAAAAATTTATAAAAAAAATAAGAGGACTAATAAGGAAAATAATTCATATAATAATATATATATATTGGATAAAGAAGAAAAAGGACACATAAAATAAAAATAAATTATTATATGAGAAAAAGAAAAATCAAGATGTTCTAGCATTAAAAATATTTGCACACTCAATTACAACCATTAAATATGTGAGGTATAATATGAGCCATAATTTTATTAAATTCATAATATGGTTATTATTAGACATCCTAATCTTTCCTTTTTCCTTATTATATATAATTACAATATAAAATATGAAACAAAAAAAAATAATATTTAGAACTCAACTATGTTAGAGAAAAAAAATTGAAGTAATAAAAAGTAAAATATTATATATTGGTGCAGAGAAAAGTAAGGTTTATATATAGATGGATAGAAAAATAGAAGGATATGGAGAAATACTACTTAGTATTTTATTTTTTAATAAAATATATATTTTAAAAAAATATATAAATATAAATATAAATATAAATATAAATATAAATATTATTATTTAATCAACGCATTATAAAGTAAAATAAAACTTCTCAATTATTCATTAATATGAGATTTAACCTATGTATTTTTTCGTTTTTCAAATAATTTATTATGTAATTTTTAAATAATTAAATACATAATTTAATTAATGCATATAATAAAATTATATATCTATCATTAGAAGGGCAAAAGTCTTCTAGTAAAATATATATAACTAGTTTTTGTTTTACTCAAGCGTTGCACGGTTTTTTTTTATTTTTATTATTTTATATTAGAGTTTAGATTTATTATTTTTTTTATCAACTTTTGAGTTTTATAATGATTTTTAATTAAAAAAATTAATTAAGTAATTAAAGTTGAGTTAAAGATTGTGTTTAGTAATTAATAGGAGTAATTTTTTTAAAAAAATTGTATATAATCACATAAAAAAAGAATATTAAGAGAATTTAAAAAAACACTCAATATCAATTCTTATATCATATATTTGTTCTTTTTCTCTACTATTATTTTATTTAAAAATTTAAATAATAGTTTCTCTTTTCTCAATTAAAAAACTATAATATAGTTAAACATAATTAAATACATATGTGTTGTATGTGCATTGTACAAGATCATATTTATATATTAATTTTTATTA